CTTTTCATATACCAAGCTCTGTCCAGTATGATCTGGCCCAAATCACTAAATTTGTATAAAATTTGTAATTAGGATTTGGGTAATAGTGCCTGATTAGAAACTTCTGTGGTGGAGTACTGAGATCTAAAAGATTAGAAAACCACAAATTGCATCTTAGTGACTTTTTTTTTTTAACTACATATTATAGGATAAACGTCTTGTACCTGGAGGTGGAGCAACAGAAATTGAGTTAGCCAAACAGATCACGTCATATGGAGAGGTATAGCTTTCTCAGTATAAATTGACTTTATTTTTGTTGTTTGAACAAAATACAATAATAAACCTGTTTTTGTTTTAGACATGTCCTGGACTAGAACAGTATGCCATTAAGAAGTTTGCTGAGGCATTTGAAGCTATTCCCCGGGCACTGGCAGAAAACTCTGGGGTTAAGGCCAATGAAGTAATCTCTAAACTTTATGCAGTACATCAAGAAGGAAATAAAAATGTTGGATTAGATATTGAGGTATTTGAAAAAACAGTATGAACTTAAATTGTTTTACTTTGTGCATGTACAACCTAAAAGTAGATATAGTAAGTTTAAAAAAGGAATCTGACAAAATGTTTTTGTTTATAAGCAAATGATTTTTGTAATACTTAGCTTTCAGTACATAGTTTGATAGAGAATTTAGTTTTCCTTCTGATTTAATACTTTTGTTTTATAGAGTGTATAGGGTAGTACTTTTGCCTATTTCCTTTTCTAGCATTTAAGGAGCCATGCAGTTTTTATTGAGTATAAGTATTTTTACATCAAAGAATTTGAAGTGAAAGAATAAAAATTTTGTCTTGACAGGCTGAAGTTCCTGCTGTAAAGGACATGTTGGAGGCTGGTATTCTAGATACTTACCTGGGAAAATACTGGGCTATCAAACTGGCCACCAATGCTGCTGTCACTGTACTTAGAGTGGATCAGGTGAGTGAAAAGTGGAATTTTGATCTTTAAAAATACTAATTTTTATGTAGTTCAGTAGTATATTTTCCTGGAACTAGATAGAATATAGCACTATTCTCATTCTACTCAAAGGAGTATTCCTTTACCTTCGTCTTAGAGATGCTGATGTGCCCCTAAAAACCATTTTTTTCTTGGTTATTACCGTTTGTTTTGAATATACTTCGATTCATTTAAAATGAAGATCTTCCCAGTGAAAGAAACCTTTGCCATTTTTAAACTGGAATGGATAAAACAAATGTGATTTTGATTCATAGTTTTCAAACTTTTTTTGCCTAAGAACCCCCTTGTAAAAAATCTGGAGAAGTGTAATACTTAATAGGGAACATGGAAGGACCTTAAAGGCCAGAAGCAGACATTGTAGAATACCAACTTTAAGGAAAATGAATCCTCTAGTTGGTGGAGGTTATGGGACCTGGGTGATTAAAATTTTTTCTGTTGTGACAAATTATGTTTTGGGGTACTTCTAAAAGATTATGGAGATATTAATCATAGTATTTCTGTGTGTGTGTGTGTGTGTTTTTGAATTGTGACAGAAAGAAGTGGTAAAGACTACTTTGGGTTCAGAGATAAACCAGAATTTGTAATTTTTCAAGGTGTTTTCTAGTAAACTTAATGAAATTAATTTTCTTACAAATTAATTTTCCTACAAAATTTTATATGTGATTATTAAGCAATGAAATATTTGTAAGTACTTAATAGGAAGTTGTAATATATAAATACAGTAAGTGAAAATCATGCCAAATTAATCTTGGGAGAAGCAAGTCACAGATGGAAACTAGACTTTAAGCACAATAAGGACTAGTGAGGGTAGTTATAGCAATGCAGATTTCATCTCAGTAAAAACTTTTTTCCTACCTCAAGATGACCAAAAATGGAACTGGATGTTTACTGCATTTATTAATAGGGTGTTTTTTATATCGATGTGTTAGGCAGTTTTCAGTGGAAGAATCTGTTTGAGTTTTTAGTAAAGGTAATGGAAATTTAAGGAAATTTTTGTTGTGAACGTTAGCATGTGGCTAAGAATAAAACAGGGGACCAAAAATAAAAAGGGACAAGAGATGCTAAGGAAATAGAAGCATGAAGTAAGCAGAAATTCTAATAGTGGAAGTTCCTTTACCTAGGAACTTTTCGAATATTATCCAGGCAAGATAATAATTGTAATAAATGTGTTGGTCATGAAGGCACTTCTGAATTTTGGTTTTAAACTGGAAGCCTGTTTTGTTTTATGGTAGAGGAAGATAGTCACATTGTTAGGTGCTCCTGGTCTTTGCGCTCTGCATATAAAATAGGTATCTGAAGAAGCCATTTAACATTAACCAGTTTGTGTTTCTGTAATGAACTTGTACTTTTTTTCTTAAGTACCTAATTTTTTATAGTATACTGGGAAGGGACTTGCAAATCAAGTTATAAGCATTGGATAATGTAGGAAAACTGGATTAATCTTTGTTCAAATGTTCTCATTATTTCACTAGTTTTCAAATTACGATCCTCACATCAATAGCATCAACATTACCTAAACTTGTTAAAAATATTAATTCTTGGGTCTACCCCAGATTCACTGAATCAGAAACTGGAAGGAGGTCCAGCAGTCTGTTTTAAATAAGCTCTTCAGGTGGTAATATGATACCCACTAAAGTTTGAGGACTACTATTCTAGGTTCTTTTTTAAAAATCAAGCTACACTTAGGTTCTGAAATTGTACTTAATGCCTTTAATTCGGTCTGAATTAAAATGGTACTCGGTAAAATGGTACTCAGGAATTTCAGGTTTAGATTTCTTACAGAAGCTTCTGAAAAGGGGTGTGGAATCTATTGGAGGTGGTAGCGAAGACATTTTAGTTTGTGTTGATTTAGACACAAGCCAAAATACAGAAAGATCTATTATATTTGGGAAGCAACGAACACCGTTTCCAGTTTTAAGATTCAGGATGTACATTAGAGTTTGAGAGTTCTACTTTGAGGAAAGCCAACTAATTTAATTTAGCTTCTCTCAATTTGAGCCCAAAACTGCCACCTTCTCCGAACTCTTTTAAAATGATAGATGGTTATGCTTGGAAAATGCTGGGTTGGTGCATTATAGAGAAATGAGAGACTTCTGGTGTGTTTTTTTAAGTTACCAGAGGAATAAGTACATGGATTTTTGTTTATGAACTCACGCTTCTTGACACTTGAATGGTTCTCATGTGCAGGTACTAGAAATTTTCAGTGTTAACATATATGTTTATGTATCCACCACTTTAGATTATAATGGCAAAACTGGCAGGTGGACCTAAATTTCCTAAACCTCAAGGAAATTGGGATAAAGATGGTTGGCAAGACGAACCTCATATATAAATGGCAAATCAGGTGCCAAACTGAGATGCATGCAGATGTTTTTCCTTTTAGCTCATTGGGTTATTGAGGTGCATGTCTTAGAATCAGCAAATGCCCTTCACTAATGTGTGTGGATATGGTTGCCGTTAAAATCTTCAAAAGCAGGAAACTCACACTGCTGGAAGCTAACAGTGTATGCTGATGTTTCATATGCAATATAAAATAGGTTGCTTATGTCAAGGTGATTATTTACTCTTGAATCAGGCTAGTAGAAAAATGTTCTTTTTTCCTCATTCTCAAGATTGAGTTATAAGTATACTCTTGTGGTTTTTGATTTGCAGATCATCATGGCAAAACCAGCTGGTGGACCTAAACCTCCAAGTGGGAAGAAAGACTGGGATGACGACCAAAATGATTGAATGGTTAATTTTTACTGTAGGCAAAGGCTGTAGGTATAGTAGTACTCTAGGAATTGCCTGATCTTTTCCTATTCTTAAATTAAGAGGTGTTTTGTGTTTATATCCTTGGCTGGTTGATAAAATAAATGTGTTGTTACTATCAAAGCCTCATTGGTGACCATTTTTCCTGCGTCTAAGTGACTTGTCTCAACCTTCTTAATTAAAGTAGCTGTGGGACATAAGGCAAGTTACTTAAGTAATTAGGGGCCTGCTCTTATAAGTTTTATTGGAGCACAGCCATGCTCGTATATTTACGTATTGTTTATGGCTGCTTTCTACAAAGGAATGGCAGAGGTGAGTAGTTGTGGACAGATCAAGTGGCCCACAAAGGCTAAAATATTTAGCCTTTTATAGGAAGTCCGACCTTGGACTATTTCCCCACAGCTCAGGAAATCCTGACTCAGAGTAACTTGTTTCATTAGCAATGAATGATTTGTTAAATGGCTGATTTGAAATACATACATTCTAGTAGCAAAGTACTAACATGCTTGTGATGCAGCTGAAAATACACATCCTGACATGTAGAAATTAAGCCAGTCCGTTTTCATAAAGCAGACATTATTTTTTTAAGAGTTTTGAAAAAGAGAACATACTCAAGTGGTAAGAGTGATACCTCTCCCTTGACTGCATAGCAAAAAGGGTTCAATGTACATCAAACCCTTACAGGAAGTTTAGAAAGGCTTGGTATCTTTACAGCTTTTGGAGTTGCATTCAACTCAGAAACATTGGCTGGCTAGGTAAAAAGGGATTATTAGCTGGACAGTTCACATCACAGGCCTTCTTTGGCATGCTGGCATTAAGGGGACCCGGTACCCAATTACTTAGGGTCCCACGAGTGTCTACCTTGAGCCAGTTATCAATTAAACTGAACAAGTGCAGAGTCAGGCCCACATCCCAGCTTGTGCACACGGTATGGTATCAGAAAGATTCCAGGTATATGTGTTTCTCAATTATATATCACTGCCAATATCAAATAGCTATAGCTATAAAATTAATATTTAAAAAAAATCAACACACTTGTAGTGAAGTTAAATTAATTAGTCTGAAACAATTTTTAGAATTGTTACCTAGTAGGGTAAGTCAATACAACTTACAATGCTCTAAGTAATAAAACAAGTTTTGGGGGTAAGTCAGTTTATTGATGTGTTGTAACCCACCACCCAGACATTAACCACAGAGGGTTTAATTCAGAATCCTTTGCAGAAACTGAAAGCAGGAATAAAAACCACTATGACAATACAAAGCCATTGTAAATTTGTAGTTATTTTCCCTTCAATATTTCAATAAACATGATTTCTGGCATTATTTAATCTGACGTGAACATGATTTACAGTTAGTCTTTACTTCTTTATTAATATTACAGCCATTATAAAAGCATAAACGTCTTTCCAGAGAAAGCACTTTGAAATTGTTACAGTATTCTCTCATAAAATAGGAGGTACGCTTGTGAGTTAAGTACTTTAGTTGTAGGCACAGCTTGCACATGTGTATCGCTGATGTGAAACCATTGCCCTTTGGTTGATTCCATTTCAAAATCTGTCAAGGAAATGTAAAGTATAAATGGAAAGATAAAAGTTCATTAATTTTTGGTTTTGCCATATATGGTGAATACCAGAATTTTATAGACATCTTACCATGTGGAATATCACCGTGGAGAACAAGATGAGAGAGATGACTATTTGCCGTTCGTGCCTTGGCATAGGCAGTGTAATGTCCTGACCTCATGGTACCACTGTGTTCAACAACTCCGTATAAGGAATACAGTACCCTTGTATTTTCTTCAGCAACATTCTTTAAAAATGAATAGAATTCAGGTTAGTTCTAGTCCCATTTATACAGATACTGTTGGCAAGACAATTTTAAACCACGTAAAGTTTCTTTCACTTTGAGAATGCAAAAATCTTTCATGAGTCTGAACTTGACTATTTTCTCCCCACCTTTTCACAACTTACTGAGGATTTTCACACTTACTTTACACTATTAGAAACAACTGAAGTTGTCAGTTTCTTCAGGAGTGTTGGGTCAGATAATTCCAACATACCTCAACAACTCTATCATCCTGGTTTCTGCCCCCAAATGTTAAGCCTTTAATGGCAAGAGGACGGCACTTAGGTCCTGCCAAAAACCACCTGTTACATTTCAAATGCCCCCTATGGATGCAGTGAGAAGCACAGTCAACCTCCCAAGCGCACGCTCCCCATCTGGAGTGGAGGCTGCTTATTCTTTAAAGATCCATGTGCCATAGAACTGGTTGGAATCACACAGGCTGGGGGCCACTTTCAGACAATATGCTACATTTATACTCTTGTAAAAAGTCCTGAACAGGCATCACTGCCCTTCTATAGTACTGCCAGTACACACCTCTTTAATCTATGAACTTGATTCACTGAACCTGATACTTCACCCCAAATCCTGTCACCTACCTCGGATTTATGTCCACCAATGAGCCTCCACAGGATTTTCACTGCCATTCCATTTTAGGCAACCACAATCAGAACTATTCGAATTGGTCATCACTCAGAACTGTTAGAATTCTTACTAACTAGCCTCAGTTAGGTCATAACTCTTCCATTCCTCCTACTCATCTTACTCTTCAACCTAACAGGATCCTCCAATCCTCATTGTCTCCTGGCTTAGGAAGCCTCTTTTGCTCTTGTTCCCATATAAAGTCTGTCTTTGCTACTCAAAATGTGGTAATGGAACAGCAGCATCGGCCTTACCTGAGAGCTTGTTAGAAAGGCAGAATCTTAGACCCTACCCCAGACCCACTGGTTCCCAAGTGATTTGTGTGCACATTAAAGTTTGAGACTTAGACCACATGTATCTTACAAATAATCTCTCTCCTACCCATCGCCAGCTCTGCCACCACGTCCAATTCATCATAAAACCCCACTCCTACCAACATACCTTTCACCATCCCATCCCCAGACAGCTGCTATTGCTAGGAAACAAAGTTATGTAACCATGCAGATGGTTAAGTTCATGATGTTCTACCTCATCAGAGTCTTCAGTGTGACTCCATAATCTTGTAACCTGTCTTTAGCTGCCTCTTCCATAGATGTCCTTCACAGCAACTGGCCCCAACTTTCACCAGATAAAGGAGATATCTTTTTCTCCTTTGTATCTTAAACATAGATTTTCCTCTTGGCCTACAAACCTACTTAAGTCTCCCAGACTTAAAAATAAAACTCCATGGATCTACCACTTTTCCTTTTCAACAAATCCTCTAACATATCTACATGCTTTATCTTTGATATTCTCATTTCTCCACCCACTAATGTTACCTACAATTCTTGAAAAATTTACCATGACCTCTATACTGTCTAATTCACAAATACTTTCTAGTCTTTTTTCCCTGATAATTCTAACACTGAGGCCACTTGGCCCTTTCCTTGAAACCTGAACACAGGGCAATGGCATTTTAAGCAAAAGATGGATTCCTAATGACATATTTAAAACTAATCCAACCAAAGGTTGGTTGGGTTTTTTGTTTTTACCAGCAAAAGTGTCTCTGGCCTATTGTGAGAACATAAAAATAATCACAATTCAGTCTGAAATACCAGCTCTGAAATACCTTTTGTGGAAAATTTTTAATTGGGGAGGGACTTTCCATCATTTCAAATTTTGTAGATAATGTTTATACTGAGTATTTCAACTCTGAATACAGTACAACAGTACCGCCTCAACAACTATCTGAATTGTTGATTCTCCAAATTCTTCAAATGGAGATTCGTTGAGACCCTTCGTGGCGTCCTTTTTTTCCAGCTAAGCCTCTCACACTCGGATGCTCTCCAGAGTTCTATATTCGCAACTTCTTTCTCTACTCTCTCCATGCTCTACACTAGAGATCCTATCTTCTCATTGTTTTAACTCCTACCTGTATACTAATTTCAAAATTCTTATCTCCAGCCCTAACCTCTCTGCCCTGGGCCTCAGACATGTACATCCAAAAGCTTTCTAAAAGTAGCCAAAAATATATATATCTCAAAAATATATGAAACTCGATGTATCCAAAACTGAACTCATTATCCTTTCTCCACCTTCCAAACTGCTCTTCTACCTGTATTTCCTACCTCTATTTGTGTTACCCCTATCTGCTCATATGCCTAATCACTCAACCAGGCCCTGGGAATCATGCTCAGCTCCTCTTTCTATGTCACTCTCAGCGTTCACTTTAAGGCCTCTGCCTTATCTTCCATAGCCACTTGATCATAAGTCTGGTTAATTTTACCTCTTGAAATATTCCTTCAGCCTTCCCCTCTTCTGCCCTAGTTTAAGCCCTCATCATCTATTGATTGAACAAATTCAACAGCCTCCTAACTAGTTTCCCTGCCTCTAGCCATTTCCTCCTAAGAATCCAGCCTCCATGCTTCAGCAAGTAACATATGTAATATACAGATCTGGCCATAACAGCCCATTGCTTTGAACTTGAATGGCTCCCCACTGCATACCTAATAAAGCCCAAGTTCCTCACCAAGATAATCCTCCAAAACTTCATTCCTATCTCACTTCCCTGGCTTCATCTCTCAACGTTCCCCAGACCTTGTACTGTAAGCTCCAGAAGTGCTTATACTGCCAATCCATGGCACCCACCATGTCATTTACACTGCTCTGCCTTTGCTCCTGCCTGGAAATCCTGCCTATTCTTGATTCATCCCACTATCTCTTACTCCTTAGTTAACTACTAGTTGACTTCACAGAGCCTCCCCTGAACCACGAGCATGCCGGGTTAAGTGAGTTCCACCCCTGCTCTGTGTATACCCATCTTAACATTCAACCATGATAAACTGAGATTATCTATTAATGTATCTGCTCACCTTTAGTTTTGGGCCCTTAGCTCCCAAGTCGATGTCTGCCACAATAAGTGTTCAAAACAATGTTAAACTGAAATAATAAACCTAATGTTCAAAACGATTCATCATAGATCTTCAAATTATAAAGGTACAAAAACCAAAGACCCGCTCTACTCAGTAATTCTTATCAGCTTCATACTGCTGTGAGTTGCTGTTATAGCATTTGGTAAGCTATGATTTCTCTTTACGAGATTTTTCCCGAAAAGACCACTTTTACTTACCTTACATTTAAGGGTACAAAAAGGAGCCAAATCTAAGATTTCTGGAAATTTTATGTGTTTGTTAATTTTGCGTAGGTTAAAACCAGCCTAAAAAAAAGAGGGGCATTAGATGAAGTTCTTTTCCTGGAAGAGCTGTGCATGTTAAGTAAACTGTAGTCCCACTGATGCCCAGAGAGCACCAACATCCAGCCCTGGTTCAGTTTCCCTGACCGACCGATTGCTAGTTGGTTTGTTTTTGCTAAGTACACAACACATACACACACACACCCGCCCCCCAGCACATTAAGAAAGCTACTCTTGTAAGAAAATTCTCGATGTTTCTTTTTCAGCCAACCAGAAAAGCCACATTCGACCAGAGGTTTTGGGTGCCTAAAACTGAGCAACAGCAGAATACTGTTCTGTGAAGCACACATTCTCAGCCTTACACTCTAACCAGGCTCAGTGAATTGTTCACAGAAACCCATCCAAGTTAGGCCCATACCAAGCAGAGGAGGAAAATGTTCGAAAGGTACTTTTTGAATTTGGAACTGAACTTGAAATTTCAACTGCTTAGAGCAAAAAAGATCAGGTCACCAAAATGATGAAGGTCCAAGGTATCAATGTCTTTTTGTCAAGAGTCAGTAAAATTAAGATACCACACACAAAACAGAAAACCATCACTACATTTCCTCAGTGTGAGATATACCTAGTAAACAGGGCCTTTTTTTTTTTTAATCCAAAAATAAGATTAGAGTAAGATGCTAATATTACTAAAAAGAGCAACGTGAGTTCTAATAAAATTAAGAAACAATTGTTCTTAAATTTCTCCTCAACCTTCACATGCATCTTCATCAAAACTTCTGTTTTACCCATATATAGTTTTTACTTTCCTACTTCTTTGAAGTTAGAATAAAAAAAGTAACAGAAAACCAAAGAAACAGTTACATGGTGAGACATAACAAAGCAGGTGCTACATGTTTAAAACAAATTTTAGGTAACAAGCGTTACCTGCTGAAATCTCTTTAAATGAAGAGTGAGAACAGGAGGAGCAAGAGAAATCAGCATCTGCTTTTTGGCATTGGTGTAAACATGTTTCTTTTCACCTAAAAAAAGAAAAAACATTTACTAGCGTAAAAATCGATTTAGAACTCTAAAGCATTCAGTTTGTTATCAAATCATTTCAAACATCTAAAGTGAGAATCAGTAAACTTTCCGGAGAGGAACAGAAAAATATTTTAGGCTTTGTGGACCAAGAGGCCAGATCAAGGATATTTTGTAGGTATTCATATATGAGAGAAAAACTTCCACAAGTTTTTACTGATGGAATTCAAAATATAATAATATGTGAGTATGATTGCAGTCTACTGAAGAAAAGAATGGAATTATTTTTGGAGAAATAACTTTTAATTAATTGGGGTTCCAAGTTAGTGTTTTCTACCATAAAATCATTTTGAAATATTCGTCTATAAAAAACATTTTTAGTTCAGAGATGATACAAACACAGGCAATAGGCCAAATCTGGCCTGTGGACTGTAGTTTGCCGACATCTGCTCTAAACAGAATTGCTATGAAATTAACACAACTTACTTTTTTGTGCTGACATGTAAATAAATAAAAGCTAGACTTTAAAAACAGTTGAACAATTCTAGCAAGACTCCTTAGACATCCATGGTCTCTCCCTATCCCACTTACTCAAGCTGAAAAAAAGTGGGGATGAGCGGAGGAGGGGAATTAGTATCTTTCTGTTCGTATCTGAGGGCGATTGTAAGAAAGCACTGTCCTCCTAGCACCTTGGACTGGGAATGTCACTTTAGTTCACTGACAAATTGAAGTGTAGCTTCCTGGGAGCAAGTGAGGTGAGGGCCGTCACAAATGCGGACAGGAAACTGAGGATATAAAGCAACAGCCACTATCTATTAGGCTTCTGTTGTGCCAACACGCCAGTGGGATGATTGACCTACAGGGAGAGGCATCCGAGAGCAAAATGTCTCACAGTCGAAGCTGCTGTTGGGAGGCCACAGAGTTCTGCTTAACCATCCTTCTATTAAATATGTACATGGTAGAGGGAACCTATTGATGCCATCCAAATCCTAAAACAATTAAAATGGGAGTACCCCACCTATGCAGTGCAAAATGTGCCTCCGAATGTTAATTTTACCTTCTGTAAGAGAATCTCAATACCTTTTAGATTTGCCTTTGGTCCGTTATGCTGTCTCCGGGTGCATACTTCACAAAGCAGTTTATTTGCATCCCGGAGTTTCTCGTTTCGGGTGAACTGATATAAACAGTGCTGGATTGAACATTCATCAGTACCGACCGCTTCCCTGTTCGCAAGAGTACAGAAAGCAGTTTCTGGATCTTCGTTTACAAACTCAAACACCTTGGTCCCAGGAGCATGACTGTCATTCAGAATTTCTATGTTTATTTCGTCGGGTTGAAGAGCAGCATTCAAGTTAAGGTTTTTCAAACCACTGGAAATGTCCCCTTCTCCATTGCTTCCTTCTTGCGGGTAGGCACCATTTAAATTCCTAGTACATTCATTGGGAGAAGATGACAAAACCTCCAGATCATTGTCCATGTTGACATGTTTCATATCTATTTCCTCTGTGGATTTTTGATTGTCAGTTACACTTTCTATCAGTTTTTCTTGGCCATTCAAATCTTTCTGATTAACACAATACTCTTTATTTATAACTTCCTCTTGTGAAATGTGGTCAGATTTACTATCCACTTCTCCCTGAAGTGACATTTCGACCTCACAATCATTATCTTCAGGATGGTCAATGGTAGAGATATCATTTAAATGAAGAACTTTTCCTTGAATTTTTTGTTGCCTTCGTTGGTTCTGTGTAAAAAGTATAAAACATTTTTTAAAAATGGAGAGGAAGAGAATGAGCATACATGAACCACATTAGCTTTTCTTGCTTATCAATCAAAAATATTAAGTTAATAAGGAAAATTTCACTCCCAGAATTCTAATCCTAAAAATTCCTTTACTATCAGGGATCAAATAAATTATGAAGAAAAGTTCTTTAATTGAAAGCAGGAATAAACTATCACTGACCATCAAAAAATTATAAATTATACACTAAGGCAAATAAAAATGTGCAAGACATGGTCTCTGTTCTAAGAGCAGTGATCTAAACAGAGCAGGAAAACCGTCCAAACTAAGCAGCCAGGTATTACACCAGGTTGTGAGTCTGACTGTATATACGACAGGAAGGGGCAGATCCAGATGACTTACAATTACTGGGTCAAAGTTTCACTGAAAAGATCAAAAACACACTGAAAACTCAAGAATCAACAAGTTTAGGGTTACTTTGGGCAGAGAGATAGAAGAAAATACTCTGGGAAACAAATGATCCCAAATTAGGGAGAATTCAAGGAAGCAGCATGTACATTGGGTAATAATGAACTTCCTCCTCTAAAATCATCATCTTTGCCATTTGCGGCCTATTCCCAAGTAGGGGTTGGGTGGAGGTGGGGGTGAGGAGGTTGGGAGGCATTTCATCAAGATCCCTGCTACTGGAATGCCTAAAGGCTCAAGGGGTTAGCATTTTCGGTTGTAACTAAAAGGACAGTCCCTGTGAGGCTAATTTGTAATAGCAGAAGGCTGAACAGCAGTACACAAGACACAAGACACAAACATTTTTAAATGTATTTCAGTTAAATAGAGATAAACATGAAAGAAAAGTGGAGGAAGAATAAAAACAAATACTTCTAAGAAAAGGAAACAAATGGCTCTTAAACATAAAAACATGCTTAACTTCACATATTAAAGTAGAAAATAAAACTGCAGAAAGCTGGTAATTTCCAGCTATCAGACTGGCAGAAATCCAGAAGTTTGATAACACTGCTGTCAAGGATAAGGAGAAACAGCAAATCTCATATGTTGCTGATGGCAAAATAAATTGGTTCAACCTTTGTGGAGGGCAGTTAGGTGATATTTATCAAAACTACAAATGCAATCCCTCTTCTCAAAATGTACTCTACAGATGACATGTACAGTCTTGTTCTGCATATCGTTTCAGCCAACAATGGAGCGCATTTATGACAGTGGTCCCATAAGGTTATAACGGAACTGATAAATTCCTATTGCTTAGTGATGTAGCCATCAGAACGCCATAGCGCAAAGGCTGCAAAAATCAACGATGCTGTGGTTGAGATGGGAAACTATTTAACTTGCATGTGGATGAGGATGACACTGAAGAGCTCTTAGAGGTGGCTCCTGAGAAACTGACTAACAAGAAGGTGTTGGAACAGGAACAGATAGCTGAAGGAGAGGCGAGAGAAAAGGAAACAGCAGGGGAAGAAAAAGAAGAACCCCCAGGAAAATTCACAGTGAAGGATTTAGTAGGAGCTTTTGCAGAACTCAGCAAGCTCCTTAAAAAGTCTGAAAACATGGACCCCAACACTGAAAGGTTTTAATTAATAGAGAGGAATATTCATGGTGCATTACCTGCTTACAAGCAAACCTACGATGAAAAAAAAGAAAAAACCAAGCAAACCACCATAACGTATTTCTGAAAAGAGTGACACCTCCTCAAGAAGAGCCTCACATAGGCCCTCAGGAGGTATTCCGGAAGAAGGCACTGTGATCATAGGAGGTGACAGTTCCATGTGTGTCAGTGGCCCTGAAGACCTTCCAGTGGGACAAGATGTGGAGGTGAAGACAGTGATACTGATGATCCTGACACTGGGTAGGCCTAGGCTGATGGGTGTGTTAGTGTCTTAGTTTTTAATGAGAAAGTTTAAAAAATAAAAAAATAAGTAAAAAGTTTTAAAAATAGAAAAAAGCTAACAGAATAAGATATAAATAAAAAAAAAATCTTTATACAGCCGTACAATGTTTGTATGTTAAGCTAAGTGTTATTACAAGAGTCAAAAAGTTTAAAAAACTTTTAAAGTTTATAAAGTAAAAAAGTTAGAGTAAGCTAAGGTTAATTTATTATTAAAGACAGAAAAAATATTTTTAATAAATTTAGTGTAGCCTAAGTGTAGAATGTGTATAAAGTCTACAGTAGTGCACAGTCACGTCCAGGTGTCACCTTCACTCTCCATTCACTGACTCACTCGAGCAACTTCCAGTACTGCAAGCTCCATTCATGATAGGTGCCTTATACAGGTGTACCATTTTTTACCATTTTTTATCTTTTGTACTGTATTTTTACCATACCTTTCCTATGTTTAGGTACACAAATACAATTCTATTACAATTGCCTACAGTATTCAGTACAGTAATGTCTTGTGTAGCTTATAGCGTAGGAGCAATAAGCTACGCCACGTGGCCAAGGTGTGTAGCGGACTGCACCCTCTAGGTTGGTGCAAGGGCGCAGTACGATGTTTGCATGATGATGAAACAGACCAACAGTAAATTGCTCAGAACATATCCTTGTTGCTAAGTGACTGTATAAGATTACTTACTGCAGCACTGGCCATTAGAGCAAAAACTGTATGTATAATTTTTAAAAGAAAGGAAAAACAAGACTACATATTTGTTTTTGATCTTATTTTCTAAAAGAAACTTCAGAAGGACATATAGACTAGGTAAAGTGGTTATCTGTGTCATAAAAGGACAGGAAGGGAAGGGACTTTTGTTGGACGTCTTTAAATATTCTTAAATTTTGAATGTCAATGAATAAACAACTAAAAAATTTATTAAAAATGAACTCTTTAATTGTCACAGTAATGCAAGATTAAAAAAACACAACCTTTTCTTCACATATGGTCAGACATTTCCCAGCAGAGACTACTAAATGAACTGATTCATTGAATTAACTGCCAAATGAAAGTGCTCTATATAAAATGAGACATGTCTACCGACGTCATTCAGACTTCAAACTCAATGGTTCAAAATATGAAATTAGAAAAGCATGGTTTTCTTCCAAATTACCCACCTTGGCTTGCTTTTTGGCTTGCTTCTTTGCTTTCTTTTGTAAGTGCTTACTTGTTCCTGAAGGAATATCATTTCTCTCTTTTATGTAACTGTCATTATCTTTTTCTTCCTCGCTGTCTTTATCTTCATCCTCCATTGTCTTTTTCAGATTTTTATCATTTATACTTTTCTTACCACTCTTAAAATATGGAGAGAATATGAGCCCAAAATAAAATTTTACAACTACTGTTTGGTGAAGAGATTTCAAGTTATCTAAATATTTTTCTATTCTTATTTTACACTAGATTTATTTTCCACAATGTAGAAAAATTCATTCATCTCAAATACCAAAAAGCAATCTTCACATACTAAAAAATAAGCAAACGAACAAAACAGTAAAAAAAGGTAACTTCCGATCCAAGTATAATAAAAAGAAATACAACAAATTTTATTGGATACATGCTATATCTTGTAATTATGTCCACTTCTAAATGTACTTTCTGTTTATAAGTGATTTACATGTCCCAATACAGGTATTTCTTTTTATTCTTTTCTTTCTTTGCATGTAAATGATAGTTTTAGAGAAAGATAAATTATGGTAAGAAAAAATAAAAAATATGGTAAGACTTTAATCACTAAGTAAGTGATTAACGGGGCTCTTAAGTCATATTAAGTTGAATAATAATTTATCCAATATTCTTAACATGTTCTTTTTTCCTACACCCACTGGATAGAAATCAAATTAACGTGGATTACAACTGAGGTACTCTCTGTTAACATCCGTGAACTTAAAACTGTAAGAGGTTTGTAGTTAGTCTTAACCAATGAAAATAAATAGTAACTTTTAATATGAAGAAAATACTTCCCTATATGTAAACTAATCAAGTTAATTATCTATAAAGAATTCGAGAAACATCATCCTCTTTTTTAAAAAAAGAAGTATTTACCTCATTCTTTATTCAAATCTTTAAAATCCTTCTATCTCAAATACATTAAGAAAAATTCTCCGCAGGCTAGTAACGTACAAACCTGGAAAAAGTGACAGGCTTCCCTCATAAAATCTAACAGAGGGGAAAAAAACTACTTAAATAAAAGAAACTCAATAGTCTTACCTGATCATCTAAAACTGGTAGAGACAAATCAAGGAAAGATTCATGAACCAAGGAGACCTTAACCAACCAAAAAAGAAAGTGTGAAAGGAAGGAAACGATTCACTTCAGATATTATCTAGTAAGATCATGGTGGGAGGTGGAGTGCGCATGGAGCTAAGTTTTAAAATAAAGGTTTAAAAAAAATGAAATGAAAAATATACAGCACTGAGGATGCCAGATTAGGGGACATAAAACAAAATATTAAGCTAACTTCTTCCACATGTAAGGAGTGCTCATAGCTCTAGCAAAGAATGATGCATATTTGGGTAGTTCGACAAAGGATCTCATGAAACTAGATGTTTCCGTTTTTGAAAGAAACAACTGATAAACTGTACTCTACTTAATGAATAAATCCAGCATATCTACTTACAGTTCTACATTCATCACACATGATTGTACTAGTCAGTTCACCACCAAAGATGCGGTCCACAAAACTTGGCACTGATTTTTTCTTTTCATAATCTATAAGAGGAAAAGTTCATCAATTACCCTTATATAATTGACTGAATGAGCTAAAACTACTTACTTACCTACCTGACCCTAAAATTTTACTTTTAATTTCCTATGTGAGATTTGCTTTTCTTTATTCATTACCATAATTGTATTTTTAAGCTAGAGTCACTTTTGAGTGTAACAAAATTTAAAATAATCACATCTCATGAAAAAGAAAAAAGTTCTTATTCAAGGTCTAGTCTGTGGAAAATAAATTGTGCAAGTCAGTGAGACTTTCTGCATATCGATATCTCCACTAGTAGAATGAGCAGGTGGGCTAGGCTGGATGATATTCGAGCTCACTTTCAGCTCTAACATTCTATCATTTGGCAGCAAACTTGGGCGAGAATGCATGTAATTTGCTTTGTGAACTCTAAGACTTAACTCTATTTAAAATCAAAATCAAAACAGAACAAAAAATTTTTCATGCAGATGTTCCAGATAAAACCATCCTTTTATTTTCCTATGTTCTCAGAAATAATCTTGATAAATTTAGTATAAGGTGACATAATTTTACTACCTGATCGCTCCATTTTCTAAATATATGAAATTTATAAGCCTTATTCAAGCGGTAGCTGTCCATTTATGCAGAAACACAATTTACGACAGTGCCAGCAGGAACGATTCTATCACTGGCCAGGCCCTAAAGGGCACCAAAGAGGCAAAGAGTTGCTATGTATTGAATATAAATTGTGCTTTATAATATAGTAGCTACCAGTCACTTGTGGCTACTTAAATATAAATTAATTAAAATTAAATAAAAATAAAAATTTAGCTCCTCAGTTGCACCGATCGCATTTCAAGGGCTCATCTGCCAACATGTGGCTAATGGCTACTCTGTCAGAGTAGACGTAGAAGAGTTCCATCATCACAGACAGTTCTAGCAGACAGATCTACGCTAAATCTTTAAATGCAACACAATAATAACAAAGAAGTTGGCTCCGTGATTAAAAAACCAGCAACTGACAACTCATACAAGTATAATTCATTTATCACTGCTAATTAGAAGTCTAAGCTTTTGAAAAAATAAAATTGTGATGTTAGCTCTATCTTTATAAAGTTCACTATAATACTGCATAAAAATATACCAAAAGTTATTTTATTCTGAAATATTCACCTTTGGAGTATTGAATAATTTTTAAAAAAAATCAGTGAGTGATAAAGAGAAATATATATTTAATAATTTTAGAGTCAAAATATCTGTGCCAGCAATCTTCATCTAAGGTACAAAGGAATTCAACTATAGTAATTTAGTTCAAAAAGTTCAGACATTACCTTTAACTTTATTTTTTAGTTCTTCATCCAATTTTTCTGTAGAATTACCAAATGCTTTAAGAATTCCTTTACTCACTCTCTAAAAGTAATAAAATGGACATATGTATACTATTAAATTTAAAATTTTATAGTTATTTTCCCTAGAAAATATGTAACCAAGTCAAAAAGTGATCAAGAATTAGCTGCCCATACTTACTAAATAAAAATTAATATTTCTAAAATCACATTTTCAAAATTAATTCAAAGAGCTAAAAAGAATTATATTTATAAACAATCACTAACCCATGAAAACAAAGGCACTGTCTTATTTCAAGATTTCAATTTTTTCAAACCAAAGCTTTTCAGAACACGCCCATCTCCTTTGGAAAGACCACTGAAGTATCGTGTCTGAGAAGCATAACGATAAAATGAGAGCTACAGGAACAGACTCCAGCATGCAAAGCCCAGCTCCACCATTACTGGGTGACCTTGAACCAGGTACTGAACTTTTCTACATCCTAGCTTTAGAATCTATGGAGGGAGGAAATGATAATAGCATCTACCTCATAGAATGGTTGTGAGGACAGAGTAAGGTCATTCATATAAAATACTAAGAACAGTGCCTGACATAAAATAAGAGCTAAATAAATATTAGTTGTTATCGCTATATTACTACTAGTATTAGTTATATTCACATCCCCAAATATATTACTTTACATCCTGGCAATTAAACAAAAATTTTAAAATGCAACAGATGTTCCTTGACTCTTACAAAATGAATATACGGTAAGTCCTCACTTAACACTGTCAATAGGTTCTGTGACTTTAAGCAAAACAATGTATAACAAAACCAATTTTACAATAGACTAATTGATATAAACAACAGTTAAGTTCCTAAGGCATCTCATGAACGTTGTAATGAAACATTAAACGAAATGACATTACTCATTATTCGGGGACCTGCTATACTTTCTAGATTCAAAAAGCTTCCTCAGAATAGGAGGAAGGTACGCTACAGCTGGGAATTGTTTTGGGAGAGACATGTTCCAATACTTTGTAGCTCCTCTGGTATAGGCCTATACAGAATCCTTAAAGAACGATTAACTCCGGAATCGTCAAGAAAAATAGAGCATCATGAAAAAGGAGAATCATTTCTAATTCTCTTCATTTATTCTAACAATTAAAACATACTGGTCAGAAAGGTTGGTGTAGAAAAAAATTTTAAATACAATGGCCTTAATAACTAGTTTTCATTGCTTTAATAACTCTTAAGATATCAAATGACCGACAAGTAAATGAAGATGGAATTATAAAATACACTGGTCAAAATATGCTAACTTGGTGTTCTTCAGCTCTCATGCCATCCAATAAATAACGAAGCAGCTCCTGGCTGTCTTGCTGCTGATAGCCTTTAAAACGCACTGCTCTACAGAAAAAAAAAAAAAAGAAAAAGAAGAAAGAAAAAAAAGAAACCAATGATCAGTCTACTAAAATATGAAGCTATTTTTGTAAAATCTTAACCATAGCCCAAATCCTGGAGTGTTCTAGTTTCTCAAAATTTCTGTTAAGTCCAACAACGCCCTTGGCAGATTTCATTTTCACATAAAGTACATGTTCTTTAATCTAAATAAAATAAACAATGCTCTAATATATGTAGTGGGTTGACTCTAATGCTATTCACTTTTTCATTTAATTTCTCAGCATCTTACTGATGAACTGAAAGCACAATCAAAGCAGATACTCACTTTTTACAGACCTGAGAAAAGAGTTCTTTAGGTGTCACAATTCCCTTTTTGGTCTCTTGCATCTCATTAAGAAACTGGCTCATGGCTAAGGTAAGAGGGCCTGGAGGCTCAAGGTTTATTTCTAAAGGTTCCTGAATATGGGAATAAAAAATACTTTCTTCAGTCGAGTTTGAAAGCATTTATTTTACCAAAATGTAACTAGTCAACTTGTACTGCTAATGTTCTTGATAGAGTTGTCCATTTAAAAAAGTTCAAAATGACATCAAAAGATATAGAAAGTTTCTGGTCATAGACTATTTTATGAAGAATTCAGTTCTACTAAAGATTATTAGAACTTACTACCTTAGAAGTGATATAATAGCGCCAAAGCAAAATGTAAATAATAAAAATGGATAAGGTAAAATTCTTTGGCATTTAAGTCACCTACGATATTAAAAATGATAATATATGCCTAGGGCTTCACAAGTATCAACAACATTCTCAAGAAGGCAGCCAAACACTAGAGCACAGCTGAACCCGGCATACACACAGTAAATAAATGTAAAGGCCTCTTATGATTGCTATTGTTCTGAAAATCTTTAACTTGGTAGTCTAAAACAAAACAAAAAAGATAAAAATGAACATCGATGCTTTAAAATGACTTAAAAAATCAATATTCAGAGAGGAAAATTATTGATTACAAGAAAAATTTAAAGTACATACTGTTAGTGCCAAATCAGGAGGTTCAATTTTTACAATTGTTCCAGACATTTTCACTTCTTTTAGCAGTTCTCTAAGCACAGGTGTTTGTGACAAATTCTAGAATGCCGAATGGAAAAAAAAGGAAAATTATCTAAAGGCAAATCAATTCATTCAAATATTTTTAAAGTGTCTATGCTATCAAAACAGAAAATCGCTATCAACACTGCAATCTTCATTGTATCTATCTTGGGAAATAAAAAGTAGTGGCATCTCTCCACTCTATTTGGCTCATAAATACTTCAGCTCGGAGTTTATTCATCACCTCGGAAAGGCATTCATTCTTCCATCACTCCACATGAAGTAGCTACCCACCAGCACCATGGTTCTCTCTCCACCACTGACCACCACTTGTAATTAGCCATTCATTTCTGTATTAGGTTATCATATGCTTTCCCCACCCAAGAGCGAATTCTATGAGGGCAGGGGTCAAGTTTGTTTTGAAACCGATTGCACCCTAGCGTTTAGCACAGTGTTTTACTGACATGCAAAGTAAACATTTCTTTGAAAACACAGAAATAAATTACTTAGGGGGAAAAAACTCAATAAGTAAGAAATAATCAAAAACAGCCTATAATATGAGAAAAACACTAGATCTGTTAAAGGGGAAAAAATTAACACTGGCACCTGCATAACTGCATTGAAGAAGCATGTATTTCCCAAATTACTGAGCCCTTTCACAGTTATTTGAGAAGTAGAATTCATGGGAGGATTTTCTTTAGCTTTGTTTTCCTTTTTTTCTCTCTCTTGTTCATTTTTACTCTCCTTTTCTAATTTTTTATTTTCAAGTTCAATGCTACCATTATCTTTTGCAGCTTTAGGGGGAAAAAAAGAGAGAGAGAGATTTAGCAACATATGTAATACAGCCATACTAAATGCAAAGTTATACTTGAGACAAACAGAATTTGTGAATTTTACCTAATATCATTATTTTCCACCTGTTTGATTTAAAAATGTTTTTTAATAAATATGTTACCATCAAGAAAGAAAAAATAAAAAAAAATTCAGAACTGATGTAAGCATTAGTTTGACAAATGAAACCAAACAGGATATGCTTTAGCATAAACACTTTTTTAATGTACAAAAGTTTTTTTTATAAATGAGCATATCTTACCTTGTAAAATTGGAATGTAAAGCAATCAAGTAAAGAATATGGACATAAAATAAATTTTTAAATGAATTCTGTGGGTCAAAAACGAATCCTGAAGTTAGGAACAAAAAATTCTGGCTCTGCCAAAGATACTTCCGTGACCACAAAAATCTAAGCAAGCTTAACGCTGACAATACATGTCAACCCAATTAATTTAATTATGCGTGAAAAATACCTGAGAAGTATCTGGCCTTTTGAAGGAGTTACAAATACTTTAATTTCATCCAAACAAAAATAACAAAAGTAAATTCAGTATAAGGCAGGTCTATCTTAAGCCCCTGTGTCAGGGTATAGGGACCAGGTGTTACTGCTTACTACTTAGTTCAGACTCTTCATCTCATATGACTAGATTATTTCTCAGATTCTCTTTTAATTCTAATGATTTAGAATTACCTACATTCTCACTGTGTTACATTCTTAATGAAAAATAGTTTCATAGTTTGAAATCGACCACAATTAATGTTACTGAGCTATATGTAATGGGTAGTACAGTAAAATAATCTAGATATCAGCAGATATATAAATCAACAGTACAGTATGTATTAAGAAAAATGATATTTTTACCTGATTTTGGAGTTGCAATACCGGCTTGTTTTCTAATGTAATCAACCACCTGACCCAGTCGGTTTGAACTACAATACTGGACCTCCTCGTCACATAGGTAACACCTGTGTCCCCAAAGACCACAGAGAAGAAAAGTGACAGACTGACAACCAAAAGAGGGGACAAATGATAACTCCTGGAACCCGAGGTGGGTAATCACTGAATTATTCTGCTAGAAAAAGTGAAAATAAACCTTTGATGTTCTCTTAAAGAAGACTATCCATATTAACTCTGGTTTACTATTCGTAAGATTAGCTCAAATTATGGCTACATATAAATATTGTGAAAAGAACAAACATTTTACTGAAATGGGTATTTATAACATTAAAGTCAAAAGTTTTTTCTATACATATTTCAAAAATTAGGCCTACGTCATCAAAATTATCAAATTTTATAATTGACAGATGATATTCAGTGAACACTGTTGTGTAAATGATTTTTAAAGACGTGGAAATTTGTTTTAATGACGTTAAAATATAGGAAATACATATACCAGCCTGACATTTATTTTCATGAAAATTCATTGCTAAAATTTTACTAAATTCTCAGTTTATCTGGAATTTGTTCTTAGTGTCTCAACTTTTAAACTAATAACAATCCATCCCATACATGGTTTATGGTGTCACAAGCAAAAAAAAAAAAAAAAAAAAAAGGGTGAAAATTCCTAAGTTTTCTACATGCTACAATGTTTCTATTTGTACAATACTAAACAAAAGCTTCTCATAACACCACGTTCTCTATCTAGCCTTCTAAAAGTAATGGTATTTAAACAAATACAAACATTTCAACTTTCTTGCTCCTTAAACATTACAAATGCCTCCATTCTCCAATATTTTAAATAATTTCCAGTCAATGGGCACAGGAGGTGAAACTCACCATACACTCCAGTTGTCCAAACTAAGAACCAGACAATGAGGTTCAGACCTTGGTGTCATATAGTGCTTCAAAGCGTGCTGCTCCTGAGAATTTCTGCCGCAGCCCTGGAAAATTACAATCACAAATCTCAAAGCCACAAAAATTCACCAAAAGAGGAAAGAGTTCATAATGTGTAATGAACAAAGAAGTGGCTGAAGAAATTCTACCATTCTTACAATTTTGAAAATAAAATATTAGACTCTAAAGAGAATTAAATCTTAAAATATGAATAGGCAACTGACACTGCCACCTAAGGAAGAAGATATTTAGGAAAGTACGCTTCCTTCCTCTCTGATCTGCCTTTTCCCGTCCTAACTAAACCGTATTAATTCTGTCATTAACTAGGTCTACTTTGTACTCCTATCAGCTTCCTAAATATTTTCTTAATTTCAACCTCTTTCTTCACACACATTTTTTTTTTTCAGTTTAATGTTCCTAAAACAAAGTGCTGTTCATACACTCAATTCAAAAATTATAAGTTGCTCTTAAACTCCTAATTGATAAACCTGATTCCTCTCTGATGCCAATCTACCTTTACGGGGTTAACTCCCATAATTCACCTGTTCACACACCATCTATCAGCTAAACGCACTCAGCACTTTCACAACAACACAGTTCTGTTCACATTATTCCATGTGTGTTGAAATCCTTTACCATGACTGCCACTGATCAAATTGTACCCAGTCTTCAGGATCTTGTTCACAGGCTAGCTCCTCTCACGATGAGACAACATCACATTCTTTCTGTAAACACAGTCCTACCAAACATGGTATACATTCCTGATGGCATTCTTTATTTTCTACCTTAAAGTTGTTACTTTCTCTATCATTTCTCCCTTGGACTATAAATCCAAAAGGCACAAAAACAAATTAATATATTATCAAAAAAACAAAAACAAAAACAAAAATCTAGCAAATGGAAGGAAGTCAATAAGTATTCATTGAACAAGTAAATGAGAGCTTTTTACCTATAAGATGTGTAGGCTTATTCATAAAAGAACATGACCAGATTTTCTGCCTGCAGCTGGTTATATCGCTGCTAAGAAATAGATCTCCATTGTGTAACTAACTGAACTAGCCACCAACCCTCTTGGACTACACTGTAATAAGTAGTCCTATTTCTACTGTAGCCAAAAATATACTTTGGAGGGGAAATATTTATCAATGACTTCTAATCCTTTACCTATGGTAGCAAACAGTACTGATTTATCACTCAATATTTGATTCTAAAATGAATTTATTAATTTAAAAAATTATAACACCATTTGAGATGATTTGAAACATAAGAATGAGATGAGCTGTCTTAAGACAATAATTGAGAATTACTTGCCAACAGTGCCAATAATAACTATAACAGAATAAAAGTTAACAGTTAATATTGATGTTAGGAATTAAAAAGGTAGCAAAATAAATAAAACTTATAATAAGAAATGTATTCTGGAAAATTTGAAGTACCAAATAAATTCATGCTTACCATGGGTAATTAAGAAGTTCAATGAAAACCTTTCAAATACACATAATAAATATATTCTTCATATAAATTTAATTGCCTGACAATAATATCACCATTCACCTATCAGAATGGCTAAAATAAAAAGCTGTTATAATACTAAATGCTGGCAAGGATACAGAAAAAGTAAATCACTCGTACAATGCTGGTCTGAATATAGAATGGTACAGCCACTCTGGAAATAGTTTGGCAGGTTCTTAAAAAGCATTAATTAAGCATTTAATTATCATATGACCCAGCAATTGCATATTTGGACATTTTCCTCAGAGAAATAAAATCTTAAATTCAAACAAAAATTTGTACATAAATGTTTGTAGCAGCTTTATTTGTAACTGCCCCAAAATGGATCAGCCCAGATATCCTGCAAAAGGTGAATAGTTAAACAGTGGTATATCTATACCATAAAGTACTACTCAGCAATAAAAAAAAGAAACTGTTGATAATACATGACTTGGATGAATCTTTGGGGATTATGCTAAGTGAAAAGAGCCAATCCTCAAATGTTGTATACTGTATGGTTCCCTTTACATAACAGTTTTTAAATGACAGAATTTTAGAAATAGAGAACAGTTTTGTGGTTGCCAGGGGCTAGGGGAAGGGAAGGCAGTAGAGAAGCAGGGATGATTATAAAGGGCAACATGAGATCCATGTGATGTAACTACTCAGCATCTTGACTGTGGTGGTGGACATAGAGGTGACAAAATTGTACAGACTTAATACATATACACACATGCATGCACACACACAACACACATACACACACAATCAAAGAAAAGTAAAACTGGGGAGATCTGATTAAGATTGTTGGGATGTATCAATGTTAACATACTGGTTGCGATATTATACAACAGCTTTGTAAAATGTTACCACTGGGAGAAACTGGGCAAAGTGTATAGAGATATCTCTGTATTATTTCTTATACTGCACGTGAATCTATAATTATCGCAATAAAATTTTAATTTAAAAGAAAATAATAAAAAAAGGCTCTCTGCCTCATCTTCAAGCTTCATGATAGGACTGGCTAGTAGCCTACTTTCCACCAAATCGAGAGTGACTAAGAGGCCCTGACCTTTATTTAGTACCTTGGCATACCTGTGAGCTGTTCTGCCACCCAGATGGCCCCCACCCCCATGACCAAGGTACTCCTTCCCGCAGCTGCCAGGTATGTGGCCTACTGACAGCACATAGCTCACAGCTCAGTCTATCCATCCCCAAGAATTATCCTCAGTGGAAGGGAGCTGCCTTGGCCATGGTCAGTCCCTCACACCCGCCGTAACCACCTCCCATTCCCCCATCCCTCCCCCCACCACCCACACCCGCCAAGGACAGTCCACATCCAATGACTGGTCTACCCATAAATACAAAGGCCTGGCCTCTTGCCTCAGCTGAGGACATCCCTGAAAGCCAGAGGTCATTGTGAGATTAGCTGGGGCCTGTAGCACTATCTCTTTGTTCAACTTCTCCCTCTGCCTAATCCTGCTTCCCTCACAGTTTTCCTGATGAAAACACAGTGAGAATACTCCATAGTTAAACCACCTAAATCTCACAAATTTCAATCTCAGCATCTGTTCCCCAGGGACACATGACCTGTGCCAGCTGGCCTCCTAGTTACCCATATTGTACTTAAGTAATACCTTCTAAAACAATTCAAAAAGTTTTATAAAATCCCTTATAGATTAAAATCTAAGCATACCTGATGGCCACATTTAAGACATAGCCAAACTGAAGGATTTTCTTCTTCCGCTTCTTCTTCAGTTTTATCTTTTACTTTATTGTCCGTCTTACAATCTTGGCAAATATTCCATTCCACATTCACTAAAGCCTTTTTCAAATTACCTTGTTCCAATCCTTTTCTAATATGTCTGCACATAGGTTCTATCAAAACAAACAATAAAGGAGTACATGAGGTAAAATACAGCTTTCTTCAGATGATCTCAAAACCTATTCTTCATCTGACCTTTAAAAATGAATTTACTCTGTACACAAATTATTAGATGATCTGAAAACTTAAATTTTTGCTTCATATTTCAATATAATGAGATGATTATGTGAGAAAGAGATTTTTATAGAAATTTGAAATTTTGCTTTTTTTTTTTTGAAGTCCTTCTTTTAGGATTTCAAAGAAGAACCCACTTTTAGGTTCACTGGCATCTACCACAGAGTAAAAATTATCTGAAAGGATGTATCCCAGGAACACAGGCATGGAGGCATGAAATGTAAAAGTGTAGGCTTTCTCCTCAGAATGGCAGTCACGTGTGTATAAAAACAAGCTGGTCTACGGCCATGCCACCCTGAACAAGCCCGATCCCATCTGATCTCAGAAACTAAGCAGGGTCAGGCCTGGTTAGTACTTAGATGGGAGACCACCTAGAAAGACCAGGTGCTGTAGGTGTAAAAAAATAAAAAATAAAAATAAATAAAATAAATATGGGATTGTAAGCTGACAAGGTCCCTGCAATATGTGAGGTCAACCAAAGGTTGCCTCGCCTAAAAAAAAGAAAAAGGCTGGACCTGAGACTGAAGATGCTGTTGGGACCAGCAGTGCTCTGCAAACCACTCTAAAGGGCTTTGGTTGTCTCAGGGATCTTGGAGGCTTAGAAACTAGTCTAGTGGCACAATTAACTTTATGTCTGGTGAACTTGCACCAAGAGAATATAAATGCAAATAGATCGTGTGAAAAACTACTAAATCCCAGGAAGTAGTCAAAACCAGGCGTAAAAAAATAAAAAATAAAAATAAATAAAATAAATATGGGATTGTAAGCTGACAAGGTCCCTGCAATATGTGAGGTCAACCAAAGGTTGCCTCGCCTAAAAAAAAGAAAAAGGCTGGACCTGAGACTGAAGATGCTGTTGGGACCAGCAGTGCTCTGCAAACCACTCTAAAGGGCTTTGGTTGTCTCAGGGATCTTGGAGGCTTAGAAACTAGTCTAGTGGCACAATTAACTTTATGTCTGGTGAACTTGCACCAAGAGAATATAAATGCAAATAGATCGTGTGAAAAACTACTAAATCCCAGGAAGTAGTCAAAAAAAGTAAAATAAAATAAAAAGATAGCCTTTTTCAACTAGCAAATCAGCAAAGATTTTTACAAATGGTATTAATCAGTATTGCTAACGGTTAAAGGAAACAGGCACTTGATTATGCTGCTAGGGGGCCTGTAAGTTAGTAAAACATTTCTGAAAGGCAATTTGGCAGTAGAACCAAAAGAGCCATGAAAACATTTATAACATGAATTTAGCAATTCTACTTCTAGAACCTGTACTAAGAAGACAACTGGATTTGTGCAGAGATGTAACTACAAAAAATGTTTACTATTGCTCCATTCAAAACTGAAAAGTTAAAGGTAACCTAAATTCATAACAATAGATTACCTAAATAAATAACACAATACAAACTCATGGTCTTTTACATCAATGCTATTAAAAAGTTGAAGACTATTAAATGACACGTAGATATAAACATTAAGTTGAAATGTAAATTACAGAATATAAAATACACTTTGATCCCATTTTCACACATTAAAATAGATGTCTATTTAGGGATATAAACATCATTTTAAAGGTTGAATTGGTGAAATATACCTAAAGATTCAGAAGAATCATCAATTGGAACAGTTTTTCCCTTCGTCCGTTTCTTTCCCATGTTGGCACTTCATGGATTACTTACTGACCCAAAATAACAATCTAGAAAACATGATAAAGTTAGCTTGACAAAAATAAAGTTTGTTTTATAGTTCTCTGAGATAGTAATATAACTCAGACACATATATTTTGCATGTCTATCACACTTTATAAAGTCCATTCACATATATCTTCTAGTTTTTGATAAAAACTCATGAGTTAGATAGAATAGATAGGATTATATTCCTGTGCTTCATAGCTTAAGAAACTGATTCTTAGTAAGGTTAAGAAGTTTTCAATACATGTAAAGGTCAGAAGAGAACCTAGGTCTTCTTACACAGATCTTGAAAAGTCTCAGCACTTTACACTACTTAGAATTCAACTCACTACATAAATGAGAAATGCTGGTGGTACATTTAAAACTCAGATGATTTTCTTTCCTTTTAAGCTACTTTTCTTAGTTCTGTAGTCTATGCAAGTGAAATTGATAATTTCTCTAAGAAAAATTTAAAATAATTCTGAAAGTAAACTCCTAAAGGGAGTTAGAAAATTTGCAAAATAATTTCAAAGCCAAAATACAAAAAGTGATACACTGTTTTGTATTTTCCACATGAGGATTTCCTGTGGATATTAGCTGAGAATTCATTATAATAGCATTCTCAACTATTTACATTATATTATTGGCAAATCAATTTGGAATACTGTGACAAACCTAGCTGCACATCAGATCTTCACGTCTTTAGTCAACAATCCAAAACTAGTAAATAAGAAAAGGGCTGAAAGTACATACAGGTCTACCTAACTTTAAATAATAGTAATGATTTTGAAAAGTTGCATTTAACACACATTATAATAATAACTTAGTGTCAAAATCACTTAAATGTCTTTAATAATTATTTGACCTGGAATGTTTATTAAAATTCTGATTACATAAGTGGAAAGACTTGGAACATATGTTTTGAAAACACTTCTCAATTAATTCTCACACTTAGCTGTCTCTCACCCTGCCCTATCTTAGAGTCTTAGCATTCCTTTTTTAGTTCTTAATGGGTTAGTGTAATTAAAGGTAATTCAAAAAGGTCTGTATGAAAAATGAGTGCCACATCAAGTAATTGTTAACCTTTTCAAAGATAACCTAAAATGTTAACAAGTTTCCATATTTACAAGGTAAATAAACAACAAAAGAATACAAAGTATATAAGTACGTATAAAACAAGGTATATTTTATGTACTTTTTCTCAACCTAAAGATAACATTTAACATATCTTATCTAGAATTGTAGATTTTAGGAGGAAAATATAGCACCCAAGTTCTTGCCTCCCATCAAACTCCCTCTAATCTATGCTGCATTCTAGCATCAGATATACTTGCCATCACATCACTCTGATTGAAAGCCTTTAATAGTTTTCCAGTCCACAGTCCTCAGTCTTGCACTCATGGTCCTTTATAAACTGTCCCCAATGCTCAGGCAATCCTGACTGTCATTAATTCCCAAAAGAACCACTGAAATTTAATTATATGGTGCTTTTGATCTTCAAAGCCCTATCTCATTTGCTTTCTACAACACCCCTTTAAAGAGAGCATTTCGGTAAAGGAGGAAACTCAAGAAAGAAATGATGAAAGTGTCAGAGAGAGAACTAAAACGGCATATCTTTCTTTTCCAAGCCCACCCCTCTTTCCATGCCAATCGAGCCAGTCTCTTTAGTATCCTCCACTCCAAAGCACCTTTCCCGCCCCCACCTCTAGCTCGGAGGTCTTTAACCTGAACACGTGTTATTTCTCTATCTGGAATCTAAAGTTCTAGGAGAAAGAACTGGTTTTAGGCATTACTTCTAAATTACCTATAGCATTTAAAATAGTGTAAGTACACAGTATGTCCTCAAGAATTACTTCTTGCTGGAAATGGAAAAAGAGAATAGTACCTGACGTACAAAGGATGATTACAAGGTGCAAAGATATGTACATAAGAATGAAGCGACAAAGTTCCCGTGAAAAAGAAAAAGGTAAAGAATGAAGAAGTCTGTAGCAGTGAAGACAGCACTAGCAAATCTGGTTTGAGAACCGCAGTGGCCCAGACTCCAAAGTGAAACTTGAAAGACGAACTGTAATTGCTGCAGGCAGAGGACAGTAGGGGAGTCACTTCAATGCTGTGGAAAGAGCTCCAATAAAATTTTGACAACTACAAAGGGCATCTAATGAGTCATGAGAAATATCATTAGCTATTAAACATCAGTAACTCATATTAAGTTTTTCAGGCTATTCTTCAAAGGAGAATTAGCTTCTTAGCCAAATTACTCTTTTGCAGGAGTCCACACAAAACTTCAATCAAAGCTGGTCTTGCTGGCTCTCATATAATTCCAGTTCCCTTCCCTCGATGTCCCCCCAGTCTTCCCATGCCTGCTTGGTTCCATTAAAAATGCAAGCGTTCGGAAAACTTTGGCAGCGAGTCTTAAAACACAGCTTTCAAGTTTTGCGCAGATCTGTCCTACCCTAGGAGCCTTGAATCGGTTAGGTGACAGATCCTGTTCTTCTACCAACCACCATATGGACGCGGCAGCAAACCCAGCTCCAGCCCGTAAGGCGCCCCAAATCGCGCAGCGCCCACCACACCTCCCCTTTCCTTCCAACTGCTCCGCGCCCAGGGGGAACCTCGGGGTCCACCAGGTCGAGCTGGGCGCCAGCACCGACAACTCATTGGCCAGCTCCTGGAAGCGACAGGACATGAAGCCAATGAGAACG